TTAATTGCAGATAAATAGATAACAATTAGAAAAAAGTATTAGTCTATTATTACAAAAAAAAACTTTGTTTAAATCCAAAAATTAATAATAATAATAAGAAGAAGAAGAATAAGAATAGGCCTAAAACTTAAGTTAATAAAAGATAATGATAACAATAAAAATAATAGTAATAATAATAATAATAATAATAAAAGTATACCGAAAGCATTAAATATATTATTACTTCGCCATGCAAACCGTTAAACAATAAAATAATAATAATAATAATAATAATAATAATAATAATAATAATAATAATAATAATAATAATAATAATAATTATTATTATTATTATTATTTCATTACCGTATTCTCAAAATCAAGACTAATTATAAGGCTTTGAAATGCCTTTATGTAAAACAAGCTAGACATTTGCTGAAATTGAACTAGTGATTTAGATTTTGACCAACATTAACAAATGATAGTAAAATTAAAGATTCATCATTGTTTGTATGGTTTCTGTTTAAAATCACCATCAAAATTTCTAGACGCATACGGGCGTGTTACGTGGTTCCCGACAATTCATGTAACAACAAACCCGCATTAGAAATCATGGAACTAAAACGAAATTGATTTTGTTTATGCTCAATGGTAAACCATCCAAGACTATGATGTGCCAACAGGAAGAAATGTAGCAAAAACACATGCTAAAATTATTGAGAGATGGAAACACTTAAAATGCCAAATGAAACTAAAAAAATATATGGTAAAACTAAATGGAACGATCTATCAATTCAAATAACAAGAAGTAGTTATATAATATCTTTAGAATACCATTATTGTGACAAAATCAACTATGACATCTGTGATAGCTTATTATATATTGTTAATTTACGACTGTACTTACGTTGCTTTTGACAAAACAGTACTAAGTTTGGTATGAGTTAAACTATAAAATACCATAGGAGCCGAATAGTAAAAAAAACAAGCTTCTTTGTCTTTCCAAAAATGCGATTCCCAAAAGCCTTGTACGAGATTTGGCGAGTTACTTGGCTTCATCATCGGTGTGCATCGTTATTAATAGTGTCAAAGGAATGATGGATGGCAAGATGTGCGCATGCGTTAAATTGATTTTAAAGGGATGAGGTGCACGTAATCAAGTCATTTTTCTTTCTTTTAAAAAACATAAAAAACAATAATATTTGTTAACAAAACATTTAAGGATTAACCTAATTAGGTATTCGATCTATAAGCTGTAACTGTTATCTCAGCAGATCATCGTATTATTAAGAAGGTTCTGTGTTTGATTGTGTTTATTTTCATTCCCCTTTTCGAATTTCAAATAAGTGGCACGAACTATAATACTTTTATAGCAAAGTCTTAAAACATACAAAATTGCAAAGAAACATTAATTACACATCTAATGCATACCACGAATAACGTGGGTGTCTATAAAAACCGAGTTCATACTCAAAATGAAAAACATAACAACACTTGATGACATACCTTATGTCTTATGCTTTCATATTTCAAAATAACATTTATGACAAAATCTTGAATGCTAGTCTAAGGGCAAGGCAGGCTGTTCAAAAATGCAGTTTGGTGTGTATACTCCGCGTTACTCTGTGATCAGTGCTCTTACATTTTCACAGCATAGTTAGATATAGTTTGGAGGTGTTTGGAATTATACGGAATTGATAATTGGTCCCTAGTTGACATTAAGTTAATACACGAATGATGATATGACGCAGATACAGTTCACCTCGCCTCCATGCCATCGTATAAATCAATCATTTTCAGTCCCTGAGACATATCGTAGGTGTGATATGATATTAAACTACAGACTTATTTTGCATAAAATGCATACAATTACGAGACTATGAATAATAATGTGTGCACGAAGAAACCAGTAATTCTGAAACGTATAATACAAAGTTACGTAGAGTGAACTGACAGAGATATAAGTTTATAACTGATGCTGCATTATTGAGTGATTACAGTGACAGATCATTCATTTTTAATATTCTTGTGCATTCTTACTTAGAGCAGAAGCGATTTGACAAAATGAATGCATTCCATACTGTAACGAGCTAATACGTATACGTGCATATATATGCATACATAAATAATATAATGCAACATTTTGAATACGTTGCTTGCATTTCAAATAAATTTCTGTCGTCATAGATTTTACATCTGATCACTTGTTAATAGGTCAGTAGGTGATTGTGCATTAAAATGTTTGCTTCCCAGAACATAGCATAATAATTACCATAATATTCCTAACCATTAGGGCTAGGAGCGGTTTGGCGTATTATTTGTGCTTAACTTTTGAACCTTGATGTTTGGGGTTCAAACCCTCGCTGTGAATTTCGCATGTGTCCAAGGCACTTCACCTACTCTCTTCACCAGGAGTGCAAATGGTACCGTACCTGATAGGTTCAAACAAAAGGATACCGATACTGTATGCAACGTCATGGAGTTCTCCCAGGGAGCTGAGTATGTGTTCCATGTGTTCGATAAAATAACTGGGGGTAATAATGTGAAGCACTTTATAGCCTTCTTGTTAAGATTAAGCGCTAAAACATACAGAACCGTAATTGTTAAATGTATCATGCACTACATGACGTACACAGTCACATAGATGCCTCTGTGTTTATTTACTTATTTTAATCGATCCTTAAATACTCATTCCCATTTCTATTCCATAGCGTCTCTCTTGTTTTTCTTGTTCTCTGAAAATGCGTCTGTGTAGGTGTCCATTACGTAGTTTTACAAACACAGTAGTAGCCTACCGTACATGCTCAGATTATTCCTTCTGAAGACAAGCTGGGTCTATATCGTGTTGTAAAAATGTCTCATATTTTGCCGTTTTAAAGTTTTATACATTTTACTGTACAGTTTTCACTTTGACAAGTGGTAAAGACATCACTTTATAAAAGAGAAAACTTTAGATAGCATCTTTGAAAAACTGATTTTAAATCGTCTATTTAATTTACTTACCATTTTTTTTGTCCTACAAATGCTTGTATGCGGTGCTTTTGATATGAGGTATATTCGTGTTTCTATTATGTGACTTGTTTTGGCCAAATGTGCATTAGAAGAGCCGAGTATAATGATACGTCACGAGCTTAACTCCTTTGGAGTAAAGCATCCAAGTTAAAATGTGTTAATAAGATTTGTCGTAAGACACCCGAATATCGAGCCGATAAATTCTAACTCCGTAGGCCCTTTACCATTTTTTACCGTTTAGTTTACAAAATGTTGATGGTGGAATATCATCAATTTTTAAGGATTCTTGATCCAGAAACAGTTTGGAATCTATTGATTACAACAGAGTTTCCTCTTAAAACTCATCAAACATAATCATTGTGTACTCCAAGTATATCCGTTTCTCCTTTCAATGTCTTTTATTAACTACTTTATGATGAAACCAAAGCGCTCGAAGCTATTTCGTTTTCTTTTCTGCAATCAGGCTCATTGCTGACGTCATCGAGATTAACCTTACAAACCCTGGTAATAATTTTACCTCAGATGCCGCGTCTCTTTATCTTGAGATCACGAATTTGTTTGAATTTATGCTGAAACTCAAAGGCCATCACGATAATTTTTTTTTCATAGGAGATTGTCTAAAAACCATCTGTCACCAAAGACTTTTATCAACGTAGATTTTAAGAGTAATTTAATGTTGATTTTAATAAGGTTGCAAATGCAAACGACATACTTTTGCTTGTTTATTATGTTGGATGAAGTTTATGAAGCATATGAAAGGCGGTATAATTAGTTGAGTTGTATTTTTCTACGTAAATAGGAGAATCCTTCTTTAATGTCTCAGCAACATGACAATCATAATAGAGACAGAAATAGAGGTTACGATAAATTTAAGGTACACTACAATAATGAACAGACTGAGTGTTTAATCTGTAATTTATTTATTAACAAATATTTTTACAGTATACGCTCAGCTTCCATTGAACACATAAGTACAATTAGTAATAAATTACAGTAAAATTACAGAATTGCTTGTTTATTATGTTTTTTATGAAGTTTATGAAGCATAGGACAGGCGGTATAATTAGTTTAGTTGTATTTTTCTACGTAAGTAGGAGAATCCTGCTCCGACGTTTCAGAAAAATGATGATCATAAAAGAGACAGGAATAGAGTTTCCGATATAAATTTAAGGTACACTACACAAATGAACAGACTGAGTGTTTAAATTTTAATTTTAATTTATTTATTTACTTATTAATTTATAAATATTTTTACAGTATACGCTCAGCTTCTATTGAACGCTAAGTACAATTAGTAATAAAATACAGTAAAAAAAAAAATCTAAAGTTGTACAATTTTATACATAAATTGAAACTCATCCAGAAAGAGGTGTTGCTTCTTTTCATCCGTAATTATCATATAGGCCTATTATAGCGAATATATATATACTGTTTTCGTCTGTTCAGGAAGGAGTGAATTCGCTTTTTCTCTACATTAATGATGCACAAACATGCCTACTGTTGATGAAAACCTCTTTAATTTAATCTTTTTAGGGTGGCTTAATGCTTTAAGTACCTGGACCAAGGCACGGGTACTATATCTGGACAAAGGTATGGGTACTATATACTGTTTATGTTTCTAAAAACCTGAAATGCATTTTTTTTTTCAATTTATTATTGAACATTAAAAAAGAAAACTTATTATCTACACTATAAAAACAGCGTGGAGCATTTAAACACAAAGCTTCACGCAATGTTGTCCCGTTTTTGGTGACACGTTTAAGAGCTAAACGTGTTTAGACATGGCTTAATGTATTTATGATCTTGACGTGTTTAGCATTAAATGTGTTGAGGCATTTGACATCATGATGTCAAATACCTAAGCACATCTAATGCTAAACATGTCAGAAAACAAAACACGTTTAGCTTTTAAACGTGTCACCAAAAACGGGACAACATTGCGTGGAGATTTGTGTTTAAATGCTCCACGCTGTTTTTACAGTGTACTTCACTTATTTTTGTATCTTACTAGGCCTATGTATTATGTTGATTTAATCTTGTTTTTTGCTTATGTTTGTTCTTTTGTCTTGGCGATCACTCGATAGTGTTTTACACTTTTGGTAATCCTTTGAGGGTAATTTTCCTTATCCTCAAATGTTGTAATAAAGGAAAATAAAATAAAATGGGTCTCATATTTAATATTTTAATAATTATAGTTTTAACCACTACCATACTAAATCAAAGTCGTCTGTGTCAGAACAATACACGCCCTCATCTACTCTTCTTTCACACAGAGAGAAAGTCTAACTCATTCATACAACTGATAATGATGTTTTTGTCGAAGGGCTATGCTCGATACGATAATTACATAATTTGTTTTTATATTCGAGCGCTGTAAGTCTTAACATTTACTAAATACAATTAATGAAGCTTATAACCACAATGGCGTTGTGATGAATCAAAGCTTCAGTAGTAATTGTATACTTGCCATTCTGTTTATCCTTTTATTTTTAACAAAAGCTACTATTTAAATGCATCAGTAGGGCTACATGTTTTTCGAGGAAATTGGCACAATTACTGTAAGAGTCACTTAAAGAAAATGACAATTTTGAAATGTTTTCAAGAAGGAAGTCACCCAAATTCTGAAATTAGTTTACAGAAAAGTACAATTACAGGTTTTCCAAGAACCAAGTCAACCCATTTCTCCTATGCGTCAAATTGTTTAGGGTAAAAGCTACTGTTCCATACATTCATAGGCCTACGAGTGTAGCCTTAGCTCTCTATTGAATTTTTAACTTAACCATAATTCATCTGACAAACGTAATGATTTGCAGTGTCGTTCTGTAAGTTGCCAGCTATAGATTTCAAGTACATCGACCGAGAATAATTGGATTGGCAAGCGCTATTCAAGTCATAATGTATGCCTCTACTACTTTACCGCATTACATCACAATGTCACTGTCATTTTACCATCAGTGAAATGCAAGTAAATATGCATTCTCTAAGCAATCCCTCTTCACGGTATCCACTAGTGATCCAACTAGTTTCGTAATAGGCCTATTTAGGCTTTGTTTTTTGTATATTTTTTAACTGCGAGTAACTGGTCAATTACAGATACAAATAATCTGTAATGTGATGGAACCAAGTTGCGTATCATCAAGGAGCTTAGGGAGTAGAATTGTGTCAAGTCACAAGATATGTTGACACTCTCTTGACTAACAAAATTTAATTATACGTAACTGGTTAACATGTGACTGTGAGAATTATTCATTTATGGATCAATGCTGCACTGAATGGGTATATTTCTTTCTAGGCCATATAGGCAGATCCGAGCGTAATGAAGGTTAATGTCCATTCTATTTGTTAACAGATCTTAACACTCCTTAAATGACGGAAGAATAGCATTTACTTGGCTTACAGTATGCCTATTTTTCTGTTTATATTATTAGTCAATAAGAATTAGCTCTACCAAGGCAAGTACAGTATACGTACTTGTGCATGTTAACACTCACCTATCATATTTTAATTTTTTATTAATTTTTTCTTTCAATTATTGTTTAATATATTAAATATTAGGTTTATCACACACTCTAATCCAATCCAATCAAAACGTAGACTAAAAAGGCGTATGAAGTCCTAGTAACCGAAGATGAGGGAGTGTTCGAAAAGAAACAAATTGAGAAATCAAAGGGATACAGAAAGCCAGACGACAAAGGGACACAGAAAGCCAGAAACAAAAAAGTATAGTTTAAGGACAAAGTAAGTAACATTAGGTAAGGAAGTCAATGGTCGCGTAGTCTGTAAGAACTTGTTCTTGTAAAGGGACCACTGTATAATCTGTTGTAAATATTTTAAAAATGAGGCAATGAACAGAGTAGAAACGTCCAGACCACTCCAGTGATGGAAAGTTGTGCATGTTTCATTTTCCATGTAAGCCTACAGATGATTAATTCCATGCCCAAAGTTAATAATATTATCACAGCCTATGTAACTACGTAGGACTAGACTCTTCAAAAGTTTTTTTTTTTTTTTTTTTTCGGATTATGAGTTTTTTGTAACACCCACATATTAGCAATGTAGAGAAATGTTCGCAAGGTAAAGGTAAAGGTAGAAGAATAACCCATAACTTGCAGCTTCATTGTGCTGAATTGCGTATGGGCGTGGTCCGTGACTATCTAGCAGCCGTAAAAGAGGCGCTTATAGTAGCTACACTACATGTTCAAATCATTCCACAATGGGTTGAAATGAACCATAGTATCGGGGTAAACTCCCCCCCCCCTACTCTTCCGACAGATGCAATAGGTTCTTTAAAGTTCACACGAGCCAGATGTGTACACTGGACCTCCTTAGAGAAGATAACCATGGAAGAGGTGCGGCTGGAACAAGCGCTGATGTTAAATCTTTAGTTAGCGGCGCCCCTGCCTTCCACTCGGCCACTCAACTCGCCCGAAAAATAACACTTTTGAACTACAGTACATGCAGACATTAATGATAACTACAGGTAGAAAATGACGGCTGAAATTAACCATATTTCATGAGCCAAAACGTAAAGTTAAAAAATAAAATATTTAAAGAAAGAACTATTTAAATAATCATTTGTTATCTTCCCCTTATTTTAGGCCCATTTTGTACACAAACGTTCTAAGATTATTCACATTTTGTTAGTAATTGATCTGTATGTGATGGATTCGACTAAAGATAAGAAATACGACAAGATGATCAATCAAAATGCTATCTAAATATTAAAGCGGTAGTCAGACAGTTCAGTCAATACAAAAAAGATATCTGAAGTCCACGTGAGCACGATTGTTGGATGGAAAAATAATGACACACATTAGCAATGCTATATTACTTCATTTTTTAAAAATAAAATTTGAGTGTCAATATTGTACCAGAGTCGTAGAAACATTGAGGCAATCGAAATAGCTTAGGTCTAGTATTACATTGTTTGCTTGAGCATTAATGTAAATATGGAGAGAATTAGCAAACATGAACTTATGATATTTGGTTCTAACATTCCTTGATTTTAGTACAAATGATTTACTAGAGCCTATATTAACAGAAGTATTCTCATTTTTGCAGTTTGTGTAAAATAGGAACGAGTTCTCTTTCTCATTTTTTAAATCTTTGTGTACTCCATGTTAGCACCCATTATTGTGCGATTGGTTCTTATCCAATAAATCTACAGCTTTTGTATTCGCATTTTACATTTAAGTTCAATATAAAATACAAAAGCACAAACACCTATACCTAAACTAATTTAAAAATACACAAACAGAATGCAGACAATAAATTATAAACTGTACCGCTAAGCGGTTATAAAACTGGGCCTTCTTAAAAGGCCTTTCATTTTTTCCCTAAAATTCATTAAAAAATATCTAACACTATAATTGTATTATATATCATTGTTTTAGATATTCTGAATGTATTTAGGAAAGGCAGTAGCCCTGCACAGCAATTTTCAATCTTAGGTGTTGCTAAAATCAATTTATCAAAATATAGACTACAATAGATCCGATACGGTTTGTATCTTGTCACTGCTGTCTGCACGACGCCCCCTTACATCTATATCAATATCGAAATATGATTTACCTATCCATCACAATGGCATTATAAAAAAGGCTCATGTTTGCGTAGACGTCTCGATTATATCGAGTGAACTTTAAACCCATAGGTCTATTATTACTTTCATGTAGGGTTAAGCTGTAGTAGTTCTGGTAGCGGAATCGATTTACTAAGCTTATGAAAGCTAAATACAGAGATGTGTTTTTGGTTTATACATACTTTTGTAAGCAACGTACATCTTGAGTAACAAAACTTCAGTTATTTTTCATTATATCCTAGGTAGGTCGTTTTGGTAAGTGATGAATTAACCTATACTTACTCCACGATTTACTGAAATTTACTCCATAGCAATACTGGCAAGAAGATCCACCGATTAATCTGTTGAGACTAGGCCCATTATTATGGGCACTCATGTAAGAATAACTTTACTAAAATGTGTTCCATAGCAATTACTAGTAAGAACTACGATCCACCGACTATTCTTTTGAGACTAGGCAATCATTTAAGAATAACTTTACCTATTGTATTATGAGTTAAAATATTTTTGTAAAACTATTGATCAAGAATAGCTTATTAATTTTTTATTTTCTAAATTTCAGCGGAATCTCAAAAGATGAGTAGCAAAGAAAATGTTGAGCAATGTTTCAGTTGGGAACAACCTCCATCTCCGGTAACAAATAATTATACATTTATCAATCAGGAGATATCGTCGGGTTGTGGTACACCATCGATGACCTCTTCTTTGAGAATTACTCGGCAACCAATTAGTCGTTCATCGGTCAGAAAATACCGACTTGGTTCAGACGAAGAATTCAGAAGTTTCAGAAGCAAATGTGTCCGCACATTATGTAATCCAGTCACATTTTTTATTCTTGTGTGTATTATTTTATTCACAAGCTCAGTAATCAACATTATCTGGTTGGAAAATGTACACAGCACACTCGAGAAACAGTTTGATCTTCCCTACAATCTTATCATGCGTTTAAACGAGGTTAGCTTCCTGTCAACTATTTTATTCTGGTCTTACATAGGCTCCAAATCTAACCGACCGAGGGTGATTGCAGTTGGGGCAATTCTAATGGCTATAGCAATTGGTATCATTGCTTTATCGAATGTATTACTAGATCCAAAGCAGTACTTAACAAAATTTACTCACATTAAACATCAAAGCATTTTGTGTACTAATGATAGTAACCATACTGACTTTACTCTAAACGATGAATATAATAAATATAACTCTATGTCATCACCAATGGTGTTTTTAGTAATGCTAGGACCTATTTTGTATGGAATAGGCAAAGCGCCTCTCTTTCCTCTGTCGATTACCTATCTGGATGATTCTACCAAAGAGCAACACACAACCTCTATTTATATAGGTAAGTTTGAAATACAAATAATAAAAATGTTAGATTTATTGAGTAGCAATTCTTCTCGCACCATGTGGTTAGTATGACTAATCTTCTGCTTTCTCAATTTCCATAAGGGACATTTTAATGTGCTGTAGATATGAAATATATTTTCCATTCATTTCATACAACTTGGACTTTGCCCGAATGATTGATGTACTTAATTTTCATGTTGCAGATAAAAAGTACAATGTCCACATCCGTTACCTATTTACATTGTTTTTTAATGTTATCAATGATAAGAAGTATGTCTACAGATTTTCTTAAAATCTATGTACAGTAACTTTGAGGACAGCTCCCTGGCGATGTAAACATGTTATAATGGGAAAGGACATTATTTAATAAGAATGTGTGCCGAATTACTATCTTTATTTAATAACTAGGCTTATGCAGTAATATTATATGTAATTTGGATACATTGTAAATATATAATTAATTAAATACTGTCAGGAATCATTTACTTGTAATTAGTGTGAGAGAAGCCAGTATTATAGAATAGTGAGCATGTTTCCAACAACTCAAATATAAGCTTATTTCAGTAAGGTTTTCCTACGCAAACAATTTTATGTCAACACAAGTTTTACTAACTGCTCATTGTGCTTTTTTTTCCAGCTATATTAGCAAGTGCAGCAGCCGGTGTCGGTCTTGCGCTTCGTCTTATAAATTGTCTTGGCTTCTTAAGTTTTTCTGTTAATAAAAAAGGAAACCAACGTAAAGAAACTTCACATGGACTACTTGCTCGTAACGTCTGGTGGCCTGGCTATGTGATTGGATGTATAATTTTGTTGATCTGCGCTATTGTACTGTTATTTTTTCCAAGTACACCACAACCTACATGCTGCAGGCCAAAGAAAAGACGACGTTCAAGTAGCTGTAATTCAGAAGAGGTTTGTGGCACCATTCATTCATCTCGGAAAAATCCAAGCTCTAAAGAAACTACGAAGCTAAGATTTAAAAGACGAATTTGTGGTACGTTTATATCGTAGTGAATTATTGATTGCACTTGTTTAACATAGACTGGTTATACCCTTTTAAACAGTTTTAGCAACCACATTTTCAATAAATTCATTTATATCCAAATATTATCATTACAATAGTTAATACTATTACGGCAATTTATCAAAGTTGTATTATTTATCATTTCTTCAGAGTTCTTCAAGACGGGTAAACGAATGATAACAAACTGGGCTCTTCTACCAGTGCTTCTAGTTGCCAGCGGTGAAGCTGCCCTCATTGTCTGTATAATATCTTATATTGTTAGTTTCAACGATAATGCGTTTTCTGATTCTAACGCCTCTGCTCTTATTATTGAAGGTAAGAACATATTATTTTCTAGAATACGCAAAACATACGGAAATATAAGACGACTATTTTAGAACTGAGTTATAAATTATTATTATCGTAGTCAAAATTGTTATCGTTAATACTAATAATACTGTTGGTAGTAATTATATGTATTGACAAAATATAATTATTGCAGTTATGTTGGCAGTCATTATTTTATGATTATTTTTCAGCTGTCATTATAGTATTAGCAGTAATAGTTGGAAATATTACAAGTTGTGTATACGTGATTATAAGAAAGCCGACACCCAGACAGCTTGCACGTTCTCTATTGGTACTGTGCGTCTTAGGCGTACTGATATCACTACCAATGTTTTCGACTGGTTGTGACAATCCTGAGATATCTGGACTTCCATTAGAGGAAAGGTGAATATTCGATGATAAAAATATCCTTAGAATGAGGTACACTATATTATATTAAACCAACTGTTCATCTCCCTCTCGATGTACCAATACATATAGGCCCATTGTACTTGCTAGCATCAATTATAATTTTATAATATACTATGCAGTAGAATGGTGGCTCTATACTGTCATTAATTTAATGACGGCTATTCATACTCTTGTCACAACCATTACCTTGATATGGCCATGACTAAAATTAATGTCAATAATTCATATTTTCTATAATTTTTTTCTGCTATCGTAAATAGTCTGTGTGGTTGTTCATGTCCCAGCAATACGTATTCACCAGTCTGCGGCAAAGATGACGTCACGTATGTGACGCCTTGTCATGCCGGATGCGAAGGTGTTGAATTCAATAGCAATGAAAGTAATAAGGTAACTATTATCTACTTGAGAGCATTTATTCACACAGTTCATATTATTCAGTATATTATTCCTATAATAATCACAACAGTAATCTTGATCCTAATAGTGGTCATTATTATTTACTTTTCAAGTTCTGTTTACTATGTATCATTTATGTATTGTCTACTACTAAGTATATTGTCCACTATGAATAAATGTACTTTGAACCTGAGCAACAGCGCATACAATAGTTATTCTATTAATTCAATGCACCATCACAGTATAGTCCTACTAAGGAGTTCTTATATAAAGCATTCACGATCAAAATAATTTAAATTCGTTTTGGCACAAACGCAACAAAAACAAGCCTAAATACCGACAATCACCACTGTCGAATTAGTACTAGCAAACATATTCAAATAGCTACTCGCATACTTTAAGTACTCAAAAAAATAAAAAAAACTTCGACGTAGAGGGGGGAAATGGGAAATAACGAAGCACCAATCCTCTGTGTTTTTGAAGCGGGCTAGTGCAAATGATTTTATTGTTCTTTCTAGGTGTATATTGACTGTTATTGCGTTTCATCCAAAGATGTAAACCAAACAGATCTTGCTTCTGACCATGTTGTTGAAGGGGAATGTGAATGGAACTGCGACATGTTTATACCCATCACTATTTTCATAGCTTCCATAATTTTTATAGAGTCGTTTAAAATCAATCCTACAATAATTATTACATTGAGGTATATCTATTTCTCTATTACTGTTTTGTTTTTTGTAATTCATTAGACTTATCGACAACTTCGTGGTTAAAACTATGGGCTGTAGACAAATACATAAAAAATAGCTTAGGTAAAGGAGCATTGTGGCCAAGTTTGACGAATTTCTGATAAAATGTATGGGCTGTAGGCTGTTCACAACAAATATGCCAACAGACAAATGAATGAATAAATAAATAAATAAAATTATAAGCGGGGGCAAAAACATACCCTCTTGCCAACTTCGTTGGCAGAGGTAATGAGATCTTTGGTCATGGAACATTGTGACCAAGTTTGACAAGTCAGTGATTACAAGTATGGGCTGTAGGCAAATAAATACAACAAAAAAATAGTTTTTCGTTGATTGTCAACTTGACATTTGAACTTGACACTAAGAAAGTCAGTCAGCTCTAGATCTTAGGAAAGGGAACTTTGTGGCCAAGTTTGATGAATTTCTGATAAAAACTATGGGCTGTAGGCTGTTCACAACAGGTATGCCGACAGACAAATAAATAACTAAATAAATAAACAGGCGAAAACATAACCTCCTGCCAACTTTGTTTGCGGAGGTAATGATAATAATAATAAAATAATGATATTATTATTTTTTATCCAGGTTTCTTCCCGTCATTATATTACACTAAAGTCATCAATGACACGATGTGTTTGCTTCAGGAATATACCACAAACATGGAGACGTCTTGCGCAGTCTATGACATACGTATCTATCGTTTAATTTTCTATGGTCTAGTGATCACTCTCAACCTATCGGGACTTGTATTTGTGTTATTAGCTTATTTAAAAATGCCAAATAATCGACAAAATCGAAAGGTAAGTATCATATATTTTTGTATTATTTTTTATTATTGTTATTTTAATGAAGTAAAACAAATTAATAAAATGCAATAAAATAAATCTTAAATTTTAAACTAAATGTTGAAGATTAAAATTTTCTTAAGCTTACGCATTACGAATCTACGATTAATTTAAGTTTCAAACACAGAGGATATTATACATAGCCTATTCATCGTTAGTATTAATGCATTGATCCTATATATGGATTTTGTATAATAAATTTTTATGTAGGTATTTGAACACTATTATATATTACTATTATATGAAACGTAATAATTATTTTAATTGCTAGACTTATTATTTGAAGGTTTGCATGACGAAGTAATAACATATATGTTGAAGCTCGTCTTCAGGAGAATAATATCAGATATTATTCTCCTGAAGACGATTGAAGCAACGCAATCGAAACGTCGAGACTTCCTCAACTACAACAGTTCTTTTCAGAACTACCTGCGTGATGTACCGCAAGCTTCAACATATATGTTACACTATTGTATTATTGAAGAAACACACCCAATAAATACTTGTTTGTTAATATAATGTGGTAAAAATCTGAAGGAAAACCAATTTAAATGATACAATTATATAACCATTTAAACAATATCTTATGTATAGGAAAAGCAAGATACTTGGTACAGTTTACGTTCTCGAGGAGACTCGTTTTTTGGATGGAAACGCAGTGATGACGAATTCGAATATTATTCTCCACCCCAAACATTAACAACATTTACTTCGACTCTGGATCGTTCAGGTGTAGATATCATTCGGTCACAAGACACAGTCGAGGAATAATAATTATGTACTATTACAACCTATTATAACATTCAAATATTATAATATTAAACCAATAGCTGAACAAAGGGCGGATGAGCTCCTCGGAGTCAACGGCCAACCATTAATTAGTTTAAGTAATAGGAGTAGTTTAGTCTCATTGTTATTATTGTTATTATTATAATTATTATTTTTTTTATTGTTATTATTTTATTGTTATTTGCTTTTTCTCTGTTGGCCTATATTATTTCTTTGTAAAGCGCATAGGGGCAATGTGCAATATGCGCTATATAAATATAACATTTTATTATTATTATTATTATTATTATTATTATTATTATTATTATTATTATTATTATTATAAGACCTTTGATGATGGAACCTTGCAACCAAATGATGGCGAGTTCGTGATCATTGCACGCCAATTCGCCAACTTAGTTGATGAACTTAGCCGGTCCTTCCGAAGCCACTCACTAGAATCGTATTTTTCTCAGCGTTAGTAACACAACCATTAGAATCCTTTTGATGGACACTTGCTCATAATATAATGTACTCATTATGGGGAAAACATAATAGTTTGTCTCACTCTACCCAGGAGTATAAATGTGTAGTTGGCAAGAGGTGAACGGTTTGGGATAGAACATGGGTAGGCCTTCTGCTTCACTGGCTACGAGATTACGAATATTCCCCGAAAGCTGTAGGGTGAGTTTGAATACCGTAATGAAGACCTATGATTGATTGAAAATCAATTGATCACAGAAACAAGCTCATAGTAACAAAAAGGTTTTATGCACTTTAAAAAATCACAGGCCTAGGCCTATTATATTATATAACAATCGAGATACAAGTGTGAGTTGTTTTTGCTATAATTTAAGCGATTACAAATATGCATAAATAAGGTTCAGACAATTCATTTGGTTTTGTATAAATTAAAATAATAAATTCAGTGACATTTTTGTCAACAATAATTATTCATTGACTTTATCAAATTTATTGTTTTAATAAATAATTTTGTGATGTTATTCAGTGTTACGTTTCTATTGTTTTGTTGTTGATTTTGTTATTCATCATATCTTTGTTATTTTGATTTGAATTCAATGAGCTTTTTATGTTTTTTAATTATGTAATTATTTAAATATACAGTAAGGGGAATGACGTAGCCCGACGCAATTTTGCTGTCGCGTCGGGTCTTGATAAGTTGGGAGCTTTCGATTTGTGCGACGACGCGAAGCTAGAACGGAATCACTCATGCGTGACCGTCCATACCTGGCGTTCTACGTTCTCTGCATACGTAGATTTGGCCAAATTGCGTTCCAGAATCTATTCAACGAGGCGACCTTAAAGTTCTCGCATGCGCAGATGACTTTTAGTGACGTCATTACGTTCTACGTCCTACCGTCGTCGTGCAAGATAACGAGTTAACGTGACTCGCTAAACTAAACAAAACCATTCTATACTCTAGTGAAATTTACCTTGGAATTTCTCAAATAAAAGACACAAAGCCTGCCTCGCATAAAAGATTTGACATTCAGATGAAGAACACTGACCTAGTTGTAGCCTGTCTCTTATACACATCTAGATGTGTATAAGAGACAGGGGCGGATGAGCTCCTTGGAGTCAACGGCCAATCTTTAATTAGTTTAAGGAATAGGAGTAGTTTAGTCTCATAGTTATTATTGTTATTATGATTATTATTTTTTTTTATTGTTATTATTTTATTGTTATTTGTACTTTCTCTGTTGGCCTATATTGTTTCTTTGTAAAGCGCATAGGGGCAATGTGCAATATGCGCTATATAAATATAACATTTTATTATTATTATTATTATTATTATTATTATTATTATTATTATTATTATTATTATTATTATT